GGGTTTCCCTTATTCAGTTGGCTCTTAGAATCACAGTGTTGTCAGGAGAAAAAAATGAAGTGTAAGTATGTAAAACTGTTCTGGCGTCCATTCACGTACCTCAGAAGGAACCTGATACAAAGCAAGTTTTTCAGAGACCAACATCTTTCTTTGAATGTAAAACAAGTGTTTAGTTCTGTTCCTGCCTGACTGCCCTTGCTCTCAGGAGCGAATGGATGTGTAAGAGGCAGGACCAGAAAATTAAGTCAAAACGTTAACAAGTCTTGGTATTTGCTGTTGTTTCTTCATGTCCTTTTCTCTCAAGCACTTCCTTCATATCATTGCCTCTTCAGAAAAGCACATTCTTTTAGCATCTTTCTGACCTGCAGTCTTCATGGCCTTCTCACATAAAATTTTTGTTTGTTTGCTTCATTGACTTTGGAAGTCATCAGAGCCTTCATCCACAACGTCTTTCTGAATGCACCCTTTACCCATTGGTCTTAGTGCCTGAGTATATAATACAGTCAAAGTAAAGAGGAGAATGAAAATATAGTAAACTCGAGACTAAGATAATTAATGATGATTGATCCTTTGGACTTTATAAAGAATAATAAAATAAGAGAATAAAATAAGAAACGCATGTGTCCCAGGAGAGGATGGCTTCTAGTGTGGTGAAGATTTTGAAGAGCCTGCCCAAATAGTGGAAAAGTGCTTTCATGCTCTGATCAAGTATCACAGAATCACAGAACGTTAGGGATTGGAAGGGACCTCAAAAGATCATCTAGTCCAATCCCCTGGCCAGAGCAGGAACACCTAGATGAGGTTACACAGGAAGACGTCCAGGCAGGTTTTGAATGTCTCCAGAGAAGGAGACTCCACAACCTCTCTGGGCAGCCTGTTCCAGTGCTCTGTCACCCTCACTGAGAAGAAGTTTCTTCTCAAATTTGAGTGGAACCTCCTGTGTTCCAGTTTGTGTCCGTTACCCCTTGTCTTATCATTGTTTGTCACCGAGAAGAGCCTGGCTCCTTCCTCGTGACACTCACCCTTTAAATATTTATAAACATGAATGAGGTCTCCCCTCAGTCTCCTCTTCTGCAAACTAAAGAGACCCAGCTCCCTCAGCCGCTCCTCATAAGGGAGATGCTCCACTCCCTTAATCATCTTTGTAGCCCTTTGTAGCCCCTTTGTATCACCAATATGTGTAAACAAGTTTAGATAACGCACAACTGACACGTGCTGCGAGTGTTTTGAAAATAGTGGTTATTTTAGAAATCAAAAGGAAGTCTCAGAAGGAAAATTTCACACTTTTTCCAGCTATTCATACCTCATAGCTGAAACTCAAGGCTATTTGAATGAATTCATCTGTTGTTTTACAACGCTGTGATACACACACCAGGCAGTATGAAATCTTCACAATAACTCAGTAATGAATAGCTCCTTTCAGTGCATGTATTGCTAGAAATAGCACAGATTGCTCTCAAAAAGAGACGCTTAGTCAAAACTCTTGGTGAAAGAAACAAAGTCGATAGGCATCTTGCAATAGACTCAAACAGAAATTATTAAGCAGAGAACAGATCAACTTTTGAACAAGCACTTAGTTTATATATTTGGAGAAATCTCAGTAGGTTTAGAAATTCCAATTGGATGAGCTTGGAAAAGTTGTTTGAGCTTTTTCTGTTTTCAGTACTTGTTTTTGTGTCTTCCTTCTCACTCCAGACAAACTAGGTTTTTCCCACTGGTTGTCTTTCAGTTTGCCAAGTTCATAATACATCCAGTTTTGGCTCCTCCCCCTTAAATCTACTTTTCCAAAAGTTTCTATTGTCAAAAATTCCTCTGACCCTCAGAGAGGTGACTTATCTATGGCTTTTCCATCTCTTTGTATCTGTCACGATAAAGAATGTCTTATTGTCCAAACATTTTTCTCCAGTTTTTTCCTCACCTTCCTCTGCTTTTGTGTCCAGACTTAGTGATTTACTGTTTACTTCTTTCTAAATATGTCTTCAATTCTGTTCTAGATATCTGCTAATCTAACTATTTTTAGAGGGGAAAGAATCACCTTCACAGCAGAGAGACGTTGTTACTTGTAAAATTGCCTTGGAACACGTTGTTTGAGACAGGAATGGGGAGGAAAAAAAGCCTAATAAGTCACTAATTAAATTATCTAACAGCCCAGATAAAAACCAGGAAAGTACATCCAGAAGATTTTCTTCGAAGGGCTCTACAGTGGACCAATTTAACGCAGTTTCTAAGTGTATGGTAAATTTAAAAAAACAGTTACCCCAGCAGACCAGTGCTAGTAAAAATAAATTGTTAAATCATTCAGATGTAGCAAAATTCTACTGTCTTGTGTATGCTGTAGCTTTTGTATGTAAATATTACTTAAAAACAAGTAAATTAATGAAACTGCTGCAGTTCACTGGCATGACATTTACATATCTACTGGTGGTGTTCTATTCTTGTATCTAATTTTCAGTTATTTACCCAGTAACATATTAACTATATAAAAAAAATTAGTAAGGAGGTCTCATTGTTCAGCTATGATAGATTGTACCATTTGTCTCTTTTTCTCTCTGTCAGGCAAATTAATTTTCAAATTTTTAATTGAAAGCAAATGTAGGATGATCTGCTGTCCTTTTAAGAACAAAAAGCCACAAATCATAAAATAAAAGATCTACTATTAGCCACATGCTGTTTCACAGTTACGAATACCTGTGTTAATCAGACCAACACTGTTGTAAAATAGGTTTATGTTAGAAAAGTTTAGTGTATATGTACTAGAAATACTATTTGTGAACAAATTATGTGTGAGAAATGTATGTGAGCAACAAAGCTCTTTTGTCTACACAACTTTTCCCTTAAAATTTAAAGAATGCTTGTATTTCAAAATACTTAGTGAAATTTTCAGTGGAAAAACTTGACAAAAGTAGAATATAGTAGAATATGGCATTTTGGCTCATAGAGCTTCCTTTTGCAGAATTTTGGGTATTTTTCTATGAAGAATGCAGAAAGATGAAAACATAAAGGGTTTTCCATCATTTTATTGTTTCTCTTTGCAGAAAAATATTTTGTTTTTATTCATGAGGTTCACACTACAGTTTTGGATTTATGATTCTATTTTAAACTAAGTTCAGCAATTTTTGTTGACCTGTGTTTCTGATAGTTTTGAAATCTAACAGTTATGCAAAAAAGAACTGTTTATTTTGGAGGAAATCTCTTACACCAAAAATACATATAACCCTAAGGGTAACGTGCTATTGTGGTGAAGTGCCTTTCTTCCTATACAACTGTTAAATTAATGTAATTTATCAGATTAGATCTTGATTTTACACTAATGTCATGGTTCACAGAGGATGTATTGTATCTCTTTGAATTAATATAAATTCTATAAAGAGGAAGAAAATGATGTTTTGTATAGCTGCCAAGACACTGTTGGTAGAGCCTGTGTTTTCAGTTCAAAAACATGTATGGAATTCATGTCAACCTAAAGTTGAGTCTGCAAGACAGTGAATTCAAGGATTAAACTGCTCTACAGTCCCAGTGAAAACCCTGATAACGCCAGTAACCTTCTGAGAAGGCAGTGAATTGTAGCTATTGCAGCACATAAATTCATCAGAAGATTAAATGTATTATAGTAGATGAGAAGAAAGTTAATGTGGAGGTTAAAGATACCAATTTTACAGCTCTGTCACTAGGTTTCATTAAAAAAATAAACTGGCATTAAATTACAGAAGATTAGTAACTGAAGGGCAGTTCACACATGAATCATTGATTCACTACATGACTCAGAGCTGGTAACAGGAAGAAGTATTTTTTAAGTCACCCACTTAAATCCAACCCTAAAGTGACTCAGCCCTGACCATCTGACAGCTGTTGGGTGTTCAACTGTTTGGTGAATCGATGGGGAAAGTGCAGTCAGCAGACAGGTTTAGAAAAGCCACCACCGTAGACTCTGCGGTCACGTCAGGGGAGTTAAGGTTTACATGAGCATGTCATTTGAACCGGCCATTTACTGACAAACCCTGGAAAAGAGCATATTGTTCTTTTTAGTCCCTGTTTGTGAAAGGAAGATCAAGCTGCCCATCCATAAAGAGTACGGAGCTGTAGTTGGATGTGCTTGAAATCTGTGAATGGCTGTACAGCCACAGGTTGCCAATCAGAGAATCAACAGAATTATTAAGCTTGGAAGAGACCTCCAAGATCATCAAGTCCAACCATCAACACCACTATGCCCACTAAACCAAGTCCTGCAGCGCAACTTCTTCTTGGCAGCCTGTTCCAGTGTTTGACCACTCTTTCAGTAAAGAATTTTTTTTAATATCCAGTCTAACCCTCCTCTGACACAACTTGGAGCCATGTCCTTCTGTCCTATCACTAGTTACATGGAAAAAGAGACCCACCTCATTACAACCTTCTTTAAGGCTTGTTCACCAGACCCCTCACCAGCTTTGTTGCTCTTCTCTGGACACGCTCCAGTGTCTCAGTGTTCTTCTTGTAGTGAAGGACCCAAAACTGAACACAGTATTGGAAGTGCAGCCTCACCAGTGCCAAGTACAGGGGCACAATCACTTCCCTACTCCTGCTGGTCACACTATTTCTGATACAGGCCAGGATGCCGTTGACCTCCTTGGCCACCTGGGCACACTGCTGGCTCATATTCAGTTGGCTGTCAACCAATATCCCCAATGCTATGAGAAGCATTCAAACTGCAGATGATCCTAACTACAGGGGGATTTTTACTTATGTTGGCAATTATCAGTAAGGACTTTTCTAGTGTGGATAAGATTTGAAAGCACTGGGTGGTTCAGATGTGGCAGTAGTCTGAGATCTTGTGTGGGTCTGATGTGCCACTGAGGAGCTCTGTTTTACTCTCCTTTATCCTGTTGACTTCAGTAGGTAGGATGTTGTGTTTATTTAGTTCTGGCCCTACAGCTCTTCAGCAGACCTAGTATGTTATTGTTAGCTTGTCAGAGGGGTTTTCCTTACTAGAAGAGAGATTTACAGCTCTATTTTTTATTTTACAGATAACCATTCAGAGGGACAGTGGTTTGGATGTCAGTTCCCCCAAACATGGAAAAGTGGATCCAGACAACATGCCGCACGTTGGTGGAAATGTTTGGGCTGGACGAACAGGTTTTTCATTCTTTTTTTTTTTTTTTAAGGAATCATTGAAAGATGTCTAAGGGACATGTTGTGCGAGTCAAAAATGGATTTATACAGGGCCACCCTCTGCTTAGAGCTGCTTTACTCAATACAGGGTCGCTTTATTGCCAGTGAAAATAAGTATTTGCAGCGTCTGACTTAAACTGTTTTGTAGAAGATCTCTACTTCAATTACATTTTGTTGTTGTTTCTTTTCATTGGCCATATAGAGAAGCAGAAGGTTGCAGCCATAGAAACTTATCAGAGTCATTTTCTACTCTCATAGATGTCTGCGTAGCCGAAACAATTCAGGTGGTGTAGGCAAGAGGCACACAGAACAGGCAAAGTGCCCCGCAGTTCTAAAAGGGCATGATAGTGATCACTAGGTCAAGTGGTACATTTTAGGGAAAAGGCAGAGTTTGAATGAATGGCTTTCAGGGCCAGGAGCTTTGAGTAGATGTACAAGACTTATATAATCCAAAGTCCCCTTTGTACGAGGTGGAAACCATTATGAATCTGGTTTCAAGGGACTATAAACACAAGTTTTGTACTGGAGTTCTTTTTTACCGTGATAGCTGTTTGGTTTTCAAAATCCTTGGCAAGAAATATTTCTACTGGGGGTTGTTGTCAATTTTGTTGGTACATCTGTAGATATGGCAACAAAAGCTTTTAAGAAAACTTGTTCTTACTTATTATTAAATGCATATTTTTAATTCTTTTCTTATCTCAATCATGTTAGGTGGGAGAGACACTGCTGGGTTAGGTGGCAAAGGTGGGCCTTATCGACTGGATGCTGGCCACAGGGTTTACCAAATATCTCAAGCAGAAAAGGATGCTGTTCCTGAGGAGGTTAAGAGAGCTGCTCGAGAGATGGGTGAAAAGGCCTTCAAACAGAGGTAATGTTAAAGTCTTTATTTTCCCTTCCATTTCCCAGAAGAATGTGAACAAGATGGCTAAAAAGAATTTTCTTTCTTAACTGCTTTTATCAACTACCTTACCCTGATGATAATCATTTAACAGAGCTTACCAGCATGTGTTTAAGTGTTCTGGATGAGATGTTTAGGATGTTTTATTGAATTAAGCCACAATGTTGAAATGACCCTGTGATTTGGTAGAGTAAAACATAAATAGATGGATAAGGAGACGGACGTGAATATTTATCTTTTTTTAAAAAGGGATCTACCAGATGGAAATTTCTTTGAATTATGGTAAGTTCAGACAGTATGTTGTTAGGAGTTCATTAGCTAACAAATACCTTTCAAAATGGACCATTGCAAACAAATTTCTTTTTTTTAAAAGACTTATAGTCAGACACTGAGATGATTTGAACTATAAGAGCTCAGCAGAGACTTCTACACACACCACAAATCTTCCCAGCATTAGCGTAATGCATGGTTACTAATCAACTATTTCCCAGACTGTGCAGAGAGATTCAGATTTCTTCCACTGACTGAACTCTCAAGTCAAACACTCATACTTTGAATAAAAAAATCAAAGTGTATTGACAGTCATATCAAAGTAGTTTTACATTTCAGCCCAGGACATGTTGCAACGTGAATGTCTGAAAGTAGCAAGTACTAGACACAGATTAAACATTAGAGCAGATAAACATAGGAGCTGCTTAATCAGCTCACATTTTGTTGCTGCTATTAAAAAAATGATTCTCAATAGGGGTCAAATCTGGGGGCTGTGAGATTGCCATTTGCTTCAACTGATAAGTATAAATAATTAGATTTTAAACATAAAGCACACACTGTACATGAATCACTGCATTTAAAAACAGCAATTTATCTATTGTGTTCAGATCAAATTTCTTTTTTAATCATGATTTTGTTCCTAAATTACCTGGAGCATTTAGCATTGCCATTAGAGCATTAGTGATTAATAACGACAATGAAAATGTATAGATCATGTCAGTGCTTCACAGAAAAAGATTCTGAAAAGAAAAATACCTTTTAACAGTGATCTAATTTACTCAAGCAACATACAGAAATTTAAATTAAGAATAGTCACTTAAGGTTTTGGGTTTTGGGGGAAGGCAGAGCTTGTTTTGTCTTTTTTCATGGTGCATTATGGGGAGGGCAAGTAGGGAGGACTACAGAATATTAGAAGTTGGAAGGGACCTTGAAAGATCATCCAGTCCACCCCCCCTGCCGGAGCAGGATCACCTAGACTAGGTCACACAGGAACGCGTCCAGGCGGGCTTTGAATGTCTCCACAGAAGGAGACTCCACAACCTCCCTGGGCAGCCTGTTCCAGTGCTGTCACCCTCACAGTAAAAAAGTTTTTCCTTATGTTCGCATGGAACCTCCTATGCTCCAGCTTGCTCCCATTTCCCCTTGTCCCATCATTGGAGAAAAGAGCCTGGCCCCTTCCTCCTGACACT